TATATATATATATATATATATATATATATATATATATATATGATATATATTATACACGAACACTGTATTATAATTAAAGACCAGATATAATTGCATTAAAAATATTTTAAAATTGCAATGAAATACATTAAAATTACATAGTAAAATCATATCAAATATATAATCATTAATTACTTACTATAATAATAATATGAACATCAATATAATATTTACAAAATATATAATTTTTCTGAATTAAAATTTATTATTATATACATCTCTAAATTGTGTTCTTAAAAATGGTATCGTCTGCTACTTAAAATATGTTTATATATTGAAAAAGTACGTTCAACTTCGACACTTGTTATCGATGCATATTTAAAATAGTTTAAAAAATTGGGTGATGTATCTAAATAAACATTTTGATTTCCTGTCATAATCTCAGAGTAATTTTTAATAGTCTTATATCCTTCATTTTATTCTAAGACATTTTAATTTATCTTTAACTCTTTTTCCATTGGGACCGGGAATATTTATAGAAATATGTATACTAAATATTTTTATTTAGTTAGTATTTGTTTAGTATTTATACTAAATATGTTTAAACTATTTAGTAATTGACTATTTGATTTTTCTAAACTTGTGAGTTTTGTGGATAACTCAGATAAATATAATTTTAAAAATCCTTAACTACATTTAACTACTTGTATAAAATTTACGCTGTAAATATATTTTTTTATGTAAAATCACTTTGGAAATAATAATTTGTTTAATTTGTATATTTTATCACGTGAAGTATACAAAAATTGCAAAAAATTGCATTATTAAATTAATAGAAAGACTGTAATTAATCTGTTTCGTTTACATATTTGATCAGATTGTATTTACTGGGTATCAATAAAAAGTTCCAATATCAATTAAATCCGCTCTTTAGTTATAATGTATGGTACAATTCTACTCTGCTATTGTAATCTAGTGAATATCTTTTATGCTTTTATATATAATTTATTATTTTCATTTCGTGACGGAAAATAGACAGCAGTCCCACAAGTACCACATTTTATTTTCAAAAAATGCAATAATTTATTTACAACGTGCAACATATTTTGTTTTCATGTACTGTAATATACGCACCGAAGTAAAAATGTTTAAAATTCTTAAACTTTTTGACGAACGTTTCATGTAAGCATTTCAAATTACGCATTATAAAAAAGTGAAGAGTATGATGTATATATATAGATATTGAACATTTATAGAACAGAACACTATTGAAATGTATCAAAGCGATAAAATGTTTGTTACACCTATTATACTTATATATATATTAAATATTTATATATATATATATATACATATTCATTTATATTAGATTCATTCCATAAAATATACCAACACTGGATAACACATTCCCCATCAAGTTCGTTGAGGACACGACAAATTTGTTACTTAAGTTCCAAGACATTTCGAAATTTGTACTGGTAAACTCGTGACTTATTTTATCTTTATAAGAAAAAATTACATGGCGTCAAGTCGCAAGATCGAGGTGGGTAGCTTTGGTCATGCAACGAAATTAGTCCATCCGGGAACTTCACACGTAGCAAAGGGATTGTTTCTCTTGAAGTGTGACAAATTGCGTCGTCTTCTTGTAATCTTACAAAAATACCTACTGAGCTCAGTAATTTACTTTGCCCTTATTTGAATCAAATTAACAAAAAATGTTTGGTTTCTCGTTGCGTGGCCAAAGCTACCGACCTCGATCTTGTGACTTAACGCCTTGTAATTTTTTCTTATGGGGATACACTAAATCACGAGTTTATCAGAACAAAGTTTGAAAAGTCTTGGAACTTAAGTAAGAATTTCGTTACTTATAAGCACATATTTATACAAAAAGTAAAATAATGATACTTTTTATCCGTCTATGGGTATGTAATTTTATACCATTGGTTGTGACTTAAATACGACTAATTATTTTAGAATATCTGCGTGGAATTTTATTGCATATCATACGACTGTAAACAAACGATTACTCGGAACATTCCATATATGTAATTATTATTATTTTCTTTAGTAAATTTCTGGAAAATAAATCTTTCTTTAACAAAAAACAGTATTATAATACATATTATGATATCCGAATGTTTGTAAAAATGTTATACCTTTTTATGCTACTCGTTGGATGCAACAGCCACTAGAACTTTTTACGTGTAATAAATTAAACAGCATTTATTGAAGGTAATAATTATAGTACATAATTATTGTACCATAACTTGGATAACGTTTAATTGTTTTGATCGATACTGATGAGGTATGGTATTACAATCGTTTTTCGTAAAGACATTTACTTTTCACCTGTACAACGTTGTTGGAATTATAGAAAAGAGCATAGAGAAAAAGTGAGTGAGCATTGTCAACGATATTATCATTTTCGTTTGAAAAAATTTAACCCATGCATCTTTTGTCTTTGAGTAGGTAGCGCAAAACTCATACCGTTCCTGGGATGTACCTTCATACGTCATGCACAAGTCGATTCGTTCGAGCGAAAGTGGCTTTTCCGCACACACGAAAACGATTCCACTAACATTGAACAATATCAATGGTCGTATTATATTGGTTGTCCTGTTATATTTCTTTTTTATATCTCTGTTCAGAGCTTACAACGTACGAGGTACTTGTATGTTTAAAGTCGATATTATTATTCATTTTCTTTCTTTTTATTTTTTTCATTAACATGACAGAACGTGACTTTTATTATTTCGGATATTTTATGCGTTATGTGTGTACGATTAAAAAAGTGAAGTATACAATTTAACACCATCAATAACAAAATATACGTGTGTGAAAATAAAGCACTTAGTTCATAATATTTTTAAATGGGCGTCGTTCATAACCACACACCTTAAAAAACAGGTCATAGTTCAAAACTGCATACTTTTATATCTTAATCCCATATATGTCCGCCAAATGAAATAATTCAATACCGCACACATTTATATATGGTAAGTCAATAACGTAAATATTTATCTAAATCACCATGAAGGTACCTCGTGACCGGGGGGGGGGGGGGGGTTCACTCCATCGCTGCGCTCGCTTGGACAGTTAAAAACGAAAATATCCCCCGATTTTCTACGCAACACCACCCCAAATAGGTCACAAGAAAAAAAAAATGATTATGAGTGGGAACTATATGAAATGGCAACGTGAACCGTACATGCAAAGTATTCAGGGAGAAAGAACTGTTAATCAAATGTGTGCGGTTTTGAACTATCGACCTTTCAAATTTCGCTTTTTAACAGTAGAATAAATGTGTGTGGTATTGAACGATGTAAAATGTGTGGTTATGAACGGTAAGTGTGCGGTTTTGATGACTGCCATTTTAAATCATTCCAGTGTTGGTTCACGGAAACTTACAGGATTGCGATGCTCTAATAAATTCTATTAATATAAATATGAATATGTTATAAATATATATGCAAGACCTATGTTAAATACACGGTGTGTATTTTATCGTGACTTCAAATAAAAATATAAATAATTATTACATGCACATCGAATTCGACCACGTAATTATATTTTATTATGTGTTAATTCTGTTCATTATAACAATAACAAATTATTTGAATCACACGAATCGTTAGTTTTTATCGAATTACACTACCGTGATCAGTTTTGGAAACTTTATCTTTTATCTTTTTATCTTTTACGCAAATTTAGGTGAAATATATATTAATCTCGATCTTCTTAATTTATTTATGTTTTAGTTTTAAACTGTGCGGTAGTTGTTATACCTAACGGAGTTGAAGCCAGACAAAATACAGGAAGCAAGAACCGTATTAAATGCAAAAAAAGAAATGGTAAGTAAAATATTATATTTTAAACTCATAATCTATTCATCGATATCAGAAATAAACGATTTTTTTTTTTTTTAAATTATTCAAGATACATTGTTCACATTTTGATTTTTAATTACTATAATCCTGTAATGTAATTTAGTCTGTTCCAAATTAAAAAGTTATTTGGCGTAGGCAAATTGATTGGAATGATTGGATACTTTTTATTTGGGTTGACTGACGCAACCCGAGATTTGAGCACCATATGCCTAAATGGAACGTATAATAGATTTATATATTTATAGTTTATTTTTCAGTGAAAAATTAGATTTAAGTAATGGACCCAATAGATGTAGTCTAGAATTTAATAATTTTCGTTTTGCTTTAAGATGGGGGCCCAAGTGAGTCTTTGATCAAAAACTATATCAAGATATTTTACATGTGACTGCAATAGAATAAGAGCTCCTTGAATATAAGAACTGGTAAGTTTTTTTTGTTAAAGGTAAAAGGGACGTGTATGAACTTATCGGCGTTTATTTTTATTTTCCATTTGAGTGACCAATTTTTGATTTGGTTTAAGTGGAAATGGAGAGCGAAAGAAGCTTCATTGGGATCGGAATTGGATGATAGTATTGCTGTGTTGTCGGCGTAGGCAACTAAAATGGTGTTGTCGGTTTGAGGAATATCTGACGTCAAGATATTAAAGAGATCAGGAGATAGATCACTACCTTGGGTTACTTCAGCTTGGATTTGAAAAATGGAAGAAAAATAATTTCCTTGGCGAACAGAAAAAGAATGGTTTTCGAGATATAAACGGATTAGTAAGTAATAAGGGACAGAAATAAAAAGTCTTAGCTTGAAAAGCAAACCATTATGCCAAACACGGTCGAACACCTGCGCAACATCAAAGAAAACTTCGGGACAGTATTTTTTGTTCTCAAACAAAGAGGCAATTTGTCCACTATCCTATGAACTTGCTGTATTTTGGAGTGACTGGCACGGAAGCAGAACTGAGCATTGGGGATGACGTTTTGTGAATTTACTATAGGCCTAATTCTTTTCAGAACGAGTTTTTTGAATAACTTGCCGAGTACGGGAAGTAGACTTATAGGTCTATACAAAGAAGCAGCGTTGGTGGATTTACTGGGTTTATGTTTGAGTATAATTATAGAAAACTCCCATATTACAGGAAAATAGGAATGTTTCAGCATGGAGTTGTATATATATATATATATATGTCGGAAGAATAATTGCTTTTTTGGGAATATTTTTGAGGATTTTATTTGTGATTAAGTCATATCCCAAAAATTTTTTAGGTTTGAGTCTTTGGATCGAATTAACAATTTCGTTAGGTGAAATATGATTTATGGGGAAAGACATTGGTAATGGGGCATCAAAAAAGTTATTTATTTTGTTTAAAAAAATAGTATCAGGAGGAGTTATGGAGTGGGGTTTAAATATGTTAGAAAGGTGTTCGCCAAACAAATTGGCTTTGTTAACTTCAGATATTGCAAGTGAACCGTTTGGTTTTTTAATAGGACATGAAAGTTCTTTTAATTTTAGGAGATTTTTAGTAATTTTCCATAATGAACCATCTTTTATATTTAAAGATTTTTATTTTAATTCAAAATATTCATTTTTGTGTTTTAGTATTAGTTTATTAATGGTATTTTTTAGGTTATTAAACATGTGCTTATTAGAGGGAAGTCTTGTTCTTTGCCAACGAGAGTGGACTATGCGTTTCTTTGCAATTAGTTATTTTATATTAAAGGGTAAAATATGAGGATTTTATTTGTGTAAGTTTTGTGGATTTGAAGTATAGTTAGAATTTTGCACAGCTGTTTGTATCATACTAACTATATGTTGTGCTGCGGCTTCTATTTCATTGTGAGTTTTGTGGGAGATTTTTAGATTTATGGCATTTTTGAGTTGAATGGAAAATTTTTCCGGTTTATAGGACCAGAAGATAATGAAGGGCGAAGAGGAGAACATACATACTATGAACTATAATTTGCTCTTATTCATCATCTGATGATATTGTTATTAGGAATTTCCTCGATTATAATATCATCGCAATACTTTATACAATAAATTAAAAATATTGACAATAAAGATAATTGACAGCTGCAAAGTAGTGCATAATAATATTACGTGCAACGGTGTCGAGCGTCAAAAAACGATGGCAACTTATATTAACATCGGAGTAAATAGCATACAATAATTTCACTATAACTCAAGCGGCTGTTTCCAACCCCAATGCCTGTATTTATACCAAGTAAATAAGTGTTATTGGACATTTACGCGGCACGTGATTTCCGAGCATTTTTCTTTCTTTTGGTGTGCCTACAAATTTTGTTCGGACCTAAAAAGTTAACTATCATCGTTTACATCCCGACTAGATGTTACTGTTCTGCTACCGTTTTATGTGCTAACATCTAGAAAACGTACGCAATCTCATCTATTTCACTATCAAATGCATTTATGAGCTAACACTGGGAAACTTTTAAACATTTATATATATATATATATATATTTTATTATTAAAGAAAAAACGGTAGTTTTGAAGAAAAAAGTGTTATTCGTAAAACGTACTCGTTAAAATATATATATATATATGTTTGTCACAGAAATAAAATATAAGTACATGTACGGAAAAAAGGAACAACAGTTTGAATATACAGGGTAATTTTTTAAATGTGCCATATTTTCTTATGTTTATATTATGCATTTGTTTCAACCTTGATTTTATTGAAGTGTGAATGCACGTCTTATAAAATCACTATATTTTTCAATAAATGTATTTTTTTCAAGACTCAAGGAGTCTTCTGTATATAATATCAACTTTTGATTTGAACAATGTTATTGGCATTGATGGTCACAATGACGTGGTTTAATAATGTTATAGAGTGAAATAAGCAATGGTATTGCCAAATAGTGTTTACAATTTATTATTTTTATGTCTGTTTAAACGATTTCAACCAAAAGATCTGTTTGTCCAAATCTTTTAATTTCTTATCATTTTTAATACCTAAAATATTACTTTATTATTTTCCGAGTAAAATTCAATATACTTGTAATGGCATATTATTATGTACATTACGTACTTTTTTCATGAATATTATGAAAATATAATGAAGTCTTGGATATCAGATAAAACTATAATAATATACTTGATATTCTAGAAGGTATTTATTGTTAGAATTGTGGTTGTCATATCCTTATTACAATGACTGTGTATCGTTTGTAATTCTTTGAATGTTTTATATTATTCTTATTATAATTTATCATTATCAAAAATATTTATATTTGTAAAAATTTATATATTTTGCTCATTTTGCTATTTAGTTATGGTGAGGTGTTACATTTTTTAGACGTTCGAGTGGGAAGATAACAAAAATCCGGTACCATTTTGTTCATACCACAAATAATATGATAACTTGTTGTATACTCTGTCGTGAAATGTATAAAATTAAAATAATTTATAAAAAAAAATATAATTGTATTTTCAATACCAAAAAAAAAAGTATACAGAAACAAGATATTCTTATCTCGGTAAGAAACATTGAACGTATAAAGTATGTCGTTCTAAAAGTACCTCGACAAACAAAATACAGAAATGTGTGTACACTACACTGTTGTAGACTTTTGCGGTAGATTTTGACTAAGTATAACGTAAACGTAATTAACTGGGATGCACAGCGTGTGGCTAGATAATAATATTGTGTTAGTTGGCAACATTTGCGATTACATTTACTTTTTTTTTCAAAAACCATAGATCACTTTACAAAACGGTAATTAATTACACTACGGTAAAATAATAACTGTCAGCTTTTCAAAAATTTTGAACGTTTTACGAAATAAATATGTAAAATATTATGAGGTTATGGATATAAGTGCTTGTTCATTTAATTGATTGATTGCATGATGGATTAAAAAATCTCAAATTTCGTAAATTGATATACTATTGTTTTGTGATTGACGTCACATATATTTTTATACAAATGTTCTTAAATTTAAACAAAAATCGCGAAAAACGGTCGTCGTAGCGATGAACGGTAACAATACGATTTTAACTTACATGATGAATAGTAGTCATTACTGTTTGAGTGATCATAAAGTCGTACTAGTAGCAGTAGTAGCAATAATAATAATGGCAGTGGTAGTCGGGCGAGGAAAATTAAATAGCTGACATAAATATTATACTTGACTTTTAGAATGATCTAGTCCAAAGACGCTTTTGCGTTTCAATTAAATTAAACGCGATTAATATACATTTAATTAAAAAACCAATTGGCGTTTTGACGTACATAAACCGCTTGTTTTTGCATTGCACAGTAGTTTTTATCAGCCGATTCGGTGAGTACATGTATTACACGGTTGTCTAGTCCAGCGTTCTCAACTGGGAGGTCACCAACAATTTTTTAGGGTCGCATCATGCGAAAAAAAAATTATTTCAAATCAACAGCAGTAAAAGAGTCATTAAATTAAAAAAAATATTAAAATTTACATCATTTTTTTTTTTTTAAATATTAACTAACGCCAATCGGCTTTTATGATATACTTTTTTTTTTTGTAAAACGTATATACAAATAAATACAATAAAAACAGTTGGTAAAACGTTTTGATGCTTAAATTACAAAAGGATCGTTGTACATCTTGGTAACATTATAGGGGGTTGCGAAATCAAAAATGTTAAGAACCACTAATCGATAGGTGTAAATTACAGGTGTAATAGCAACAAAATGGCACCGCACGTGCCAACGCGAAAAATCGTAACGGAACGTCAAGGCATAGAAGATAATGACCGTATGGTTCAGTGGCATAGCCATGATTTTTAAACGGGAGGCGCTTTTCTTCTACTAGTAAGAGAGGTATTTTAGGTAACAAAAGATTTGAGAGTTCAATTTTGATCCTTCATATCATTAACAGAGGATCACTCGTACAAAAAAATTTATCTCGAAAAACATGACTATCCTGTTACCATTCGATCGTTCCTGTCGGTAAAAAATAAAATAAAATATGGA